TGTAAACTTTAGTGGTATTGTAGCGCTCTATTCCAAACAGCTTTTTGGAGACGGTTGATTCCAGTTTCTTGATTAAAAAGCGTCAAACAGCAGAAATGTTGCGGTTTTTGGTTCCTTTGGTTTGGTGTGCAGAGAAACACTCTCTACTGTAAAGCTTAGTGTGGATTTGCATGATTTGAGCGTAAGGTGAGTGTGAAATAGACAGTCATGTGAGCGGCAGAACTGTGTGGAGTGATAAATCCTCGCAATCATTCCAGAGCTGCTGCTACATTCTTCAGGAGCAGCACGGATCAGCTTCACCTCACTCTCTCTCTTCAGTGACAGCCGTGCCAGTCGCCTGATGGATGAGTTTTGTAACACGGCTGTTGAATGATGTAATTTAGGACTGAAAATTTTATGATGCCTTTCTGACAGTTTGAGCAGAAAAAGATGCTGTATGTACAAACAAAACTTGATTGAGTTTGACCTTCATGTCACATTATATTTCATCAGTTAAAGGGGACGTAAAGAACAAGGTTTTGATGGACAATTGTTGTCAAGAAGTCTTAAAGGTACAGCCACAAAAACAGCCTGTGAAAATGGTCATTAAAAATCAAATGATGACTTTTCTTATAAGAAACTTTGACTAACGTGAACTTCATGGGGGAGGGGGGGGCAAGGGAAAGAAAAAGCTGCAAGAGCGAAGAATAGGCTACACTGAAAAACAAATCAAAATAGTATCTGAAGGTGGAAACACAAAGGCTCATGTGAAGTAAATCACATGAGCAAAAGTGTTGTTTTGTGTTTGTTTTAAATGCTTTCTCCTCTTCTCTGTTTGTAGGGACCCATCGTGGGTGGGCGGCAGTACAGTTACGGTTGCTTCATGAGCTGGTTTATGCATCTCGTCGTATGGGGAACCCAGGACTGTCTGTCAGACATCTCTCTTTTCTACTGGTCTGGTACGACCTGAAGGAGAGACTGGTCCCATTCTATACCCCGAAATGCACAAATGCCCTCAAACTTTACACATTCAGTTTTGAAGACCTCCTGTTGACTTTTAGGGCTCTTTTGCCATTTTTGCAACCGTTTTTTTGCCCCTCTTTGGTTCCTTAAAGGAATAGTTCACCTAAAAATGAAAATTTGCTAAAAACGTACTCACTAGATAAGTTTGATTCTTCATCAGAACAGATTTGAGAAATATAGCATTGCATCACTTGCTCCCCAATGGATCCTCTGCAATGAATGGGTGCCGTCAGAATGAGAGTCTAAACAGCTGATAAAAAACATCGCAATAATCCACAAATAAACCACACAAGTTAATGTCTTGTGAAGTGAAAAATCCTCTATCCATAATCCGTTTCTTTCTTCAGTGAAAAAGTCGTCTTGTCTGAATGAGGAGAGAAATATGCACGTATCAGGCAAAAGAAAACCAATGCTGTCATCTCATTTAGACACCCATCATATACCCAGAGAGATTCAGACAGACAGACGGCACTCATCTAAAAGACAAGAGCTGTAAAGAAAGAGACAGTGAGGATAAAATGTTCACTAGAGTGCGTTTGTGTAGATTGATTCTGCTGCGGTGAGCACTTGTTATTGAATTTTCAGGCCTGTATTTTATGGAATTGTCATATTATACTTTCGGTCATACTCCTTTTTTTTATTTTATTTTTTTTCATCTCTCTCTTTGCACAGTGACTTATTTTCTTTGTTTCTTTAGAAGCCTGTGTGTGAATTTTGAATGCAGGGTCGGGGAAGCTACTTTTAAAGTGCAGTTCACCAAGGTATTCAAAGTAAAGAAGTTAAATTACAATCAAGCTACTCTGGCTAATAGTCTAACAAAAAGTACAACTTTTTTAAAGCTCCTTAAAAGGGTAATATGTTTAAAAAGACCACAATTATAATACAGTGAAATATAATATAAAATATACTTTATAATTATAGTTGAATCTATTTTAATTATACTCCTGTGAGAGCTCTCCGGCCGGTGCCACAACGCCAGGGCCCAAACCCTCTATCTGCTGTAGGTGAACCAAAAACAACTGAAAACAGCTCTCAGTGATATGTGTCGGGTCCCCGCTATAATAGCAGCAACATTCACAAATGTTTACAGAACAAGCGGGAACCCAGTGTGCCTGTAGTTTTCTCTATTTCTGTTTTATCACGTGATAGAAAGTCTAAGGCCTTCTTAAGCCGTACGGCTGACTTATCTAATCTGCGGCCTGTTATGCATCAAACTAATATTGCTGTTGAGACAAAATGCAATGCCATCAAGTTAGCATTTTTAAACATTCGCTCACTAAAAAATAAATCATTTCTAATCAATGACTTAATAACCACAAACAACCTGGATTTTATGTTTCTAAATGAAACATGGCTAGAAGACAGCTGCAGTGCAACGGTCCTCAATGAAACAGCCCCTCCTAACTTCACTTTCATGAGTGTTTGCAGGACTGTTAGGAGAGGTGGAGGTGTAGCTGCTCTATTTAAAGATGTCTATCAATGCAAGCAAGTGTCATTTGGTCAGTACTTGTCTTTTGAATATCTAGGGATTGTGTTGAAAGGTGCTCCACGCATTCTGTTTATCATTATTTACAGGCCTCCAAAATACTCTCCAGCCTTTGTTGAAGAGTTCACAGAAATGCTATCAATGATTTCCTCAGAGTTTGACTGTTTTGCTATTGCAGGGGATTTTAATATTCACATAGATAATGCAGAAAACAAAACTACAAAAGAAATGAAATACTGTTGACCTGATTCAGCATGTGCATGAACCCACACACAATCGGGGACATACTCTAGATTTACTCATCAGTAGAGGTCTAAACATTTCATCCATTGTTATTAAGGACGTAGCACTATCTGATCACTTCTGTATTTTCTTTGATATATTGATCTCTGTTACCACTGAATCTAGATCGGTCTCAGTCAGAAAGAGATGCATTAACGAAAACACTAGTGTGCTATTTATGGAGGCTATATCTTTAACACCAAGCATTTCTGCAGACTCTGTTGATCTTCTCCTTGATTCCTTTAACTCAAAAGTTAAGAATGTTATTGATGACATTGCTCCTTTGAAAGTCAGCAGGAAGACCGGCAGACAGAAATCAGCTTGGAGAAAATCAACAGCAGTTCAGAGTATGAAAAGACAATGCAGAAAAGCTGAGCGGATGTGGCGGAAGACGAAACTTGAAATACACTATAGCATATATAAAGACAGCCTTCGTACTTTCAATGTGGAACTAGGCAAAGCTAGACAGTCATTCTTCTCAAACCTTATAAACAGTAACTTAAACAACACTCGCACTCTTTTTGCTACTGTTGAGAGACTGACAAACCCCCCAAATCAGATTGCCAGTGAAATGCTCTCCGACAGCAAATGCAATGAGTTTGCTTCCTTCTTTTCTGAGAAGATCAATAATATCAGGAAGGCGATTAGCACATCCCCAAGTTACGCAGAGGTTAGACATATTCGACCACAATATCAAAAAGAAGATACTATGTCTGCTTTTGAAGAAATTGATAGCAAAATTTTGGAAGAAATAGTACAGCACCTTAAATCGTCAACATGCTATCTTGACACACTTCCCACATATTTTTTCAAAAGGGTGCTTAACTGTTTGGAAGCAGATCTCTTAGAAGTGGTGAACGCCTCACTTCTTTCTGGGACTTTTCCAAACTCCCTGAAAACTGCAGTTGTTAAACCCCTTCTGAAAAAGAACAATCTTGATAACACCATATTGAGCAACTATAGACCAATATCAAATCTTCCTTTTATAGGAAAGATTATTGAAAAGGTAGTCTTTAATCAGCTGAACAAATACTTAAACTCAAATGGATACCTGGACAATTTTCAATCTGGTTTTCGACCGCATCACAGCACAGAGACAGCACTCATTAAGATAATAAATGATATTCGCTTAAATTCTGAATCTGGCAAAATATCAGTGCTGGTACTACTAGATCTCAGTGCTGCGTTTGATACTGTCGATCATAACATACTACTAGAGAGACTGGAAAACTTGGTTGGGCTTTCTGGCATGGTAATTAAATGGTTCAGGTCATACTTAGAAGGGAGAGGTTATTATGTGAGTATAGGAGAGCATAAGTCTAAGTGGACGTCCATGACATGCGGAGTCCCACAAGGCTCAATTCTTGCACCGCTCTTGTTTAGCCTGTATATGCTCCCACTAAGTCAAATAATGAGAAAGAACCAAATCGCCTATCACAGCTATGCAGATGATACCCAGATTTACCTAGCCTTATCTCCAAATGACTACAGCCCCATTGACTCCCTCTGCCAATGCATTGATGAAATTAACAGTTGGATGTGCGAGAACTTTCTTCAGTTAAACAAAGAAAAAACCGAAGTCATTGCATTTGGAAACAAAGATGAAGTTCTCAAGGTGAATGCATACCTTGACTCTAGGGGTCTAACAACTAAAAATCAAGTCAGGAATCTTGGTGTGATTCTGGAGACAGACCTTAGTTTCAGTAGTCATGTCAAAGCTGTAACTAAATCAGCATACTATCATCTCAAAAACATTGCAAGAATTAGAGGTTTTGTTTCCAGTCAAGACTTGGAGAAACTTGTTCATGCCTTTATCACCAGCAGGGTGGACTATTGTAATGGTCTCCTCACCGGCCTTCCCAAGAAGACCATTAGACAGCTGCAGCTCATCCAGAACGCTGCTGCCAGAATTCTGACTAGAACCAGAAAATCTGAGCATATCACACCAGTCCTCAGGTCCTTACACTGGCTTCCAGTTATATTTAGGATTGATTTTAAAGTACTTTTACTCGTTTATAAATCACTCAATGGCCTAGGACCTAAATATATAGCAGATATGCTCACTGAATATAAACCTAACAGACCACTCAGATCATTAGGATCGAGTCAGTTAGAAATACCAAGGGTTCACACAAAACAAGGGGAATGTGCTTTTAGTTATTATGCCACCCGCAGTTGGAATCAGCTTCCAGAAGAGATCAGATGTGCTAAAACATTAGTCACATTTAAATGCAGACTCAAAACTCATCTGTTTAGCTGTGCATTTATTGAATGAGCACTGTGCGATGTCCGAACTGATTGCACTATATTATATGTATAATCGTTTTCTTAAATTCATTTTAAACCTCTTAAATCTATTTTTTAAAAATAATTTTCAAAGTTTTTAAATTCCTTGTTTTATTGTTGTGATTATTGTTTTTATTTTATTTTATGTAAAGCACTTTGAATTACCATTGTGTATGAAATGTGCTATACAAATAAACTTGCCTTGCCTTGCCTAGTGATATTTTCTATTAATGAATTAATTCTAGTTTAATGATAGTGAATGAAATTAATAACAGTTAAATAAACTAATATTAATAAAATTATTATTTTTTTAATTAATGAAATAAAAAGAGTGTATATTTAAAATATTTAAATATTTATTTGACGTAATAAAGATGTTCACTGTTTTAGGAACAGTATTGATTTAAAATAATTTGCATTTTTTATTTTTTTTTAATAATTTTTCATTTTATCCTACAGTGTTTAAAAGAAGAGCTAGATTTGAATGTAAAAAAACTGGACTACTAAAAATATGTGTTGGTCCCTATCATTTGTTAAGTTATGGATGTATGTGCTTACAGTATGTGTGTTCGCATGTGGCTCTGTGTGGTGTGTTACCTGGATTTTCCTGAAAGCCTCCATGTCTTTGAAAAGAGATTGATGTTGTTTTTTTGTTGTTCAGCCATGGCCCACTTCACAGCGTCCTGTCTTCACAGAGGTGTGCTGTAATCCTGTCTGCCTTTCTCTCTCACACACACACACACACACACACACACACACACGGTCGGGCCTGCAGCTCTTGGGTATTGAGCTCTGTCAAGCTTATCATTTCCTACCAGACAGAACAAATCCAGAGTTCCCTCGGCTGAGCTCAGGGATTGGTCGAACGCTGTTTTCAACACAGTGTCAGAGTAACAATGGCTCC